TCTCCTCTCTCTCTCTCTCTCTCTAGCCCTCCAGAATTTCTCCGAACAGATAAGCCTGTTAACGATCTTAATTTATTTCCTCATTTAGACAGATCAAAGATAATGAAGATAGTTCACAGATTAAGATAGGTAGGCCACGAGAAGTTAGAAGAGGCAGGCTGGGTAGGCTGGAGTCCTCGCGTTCGATATCATTAAGGTGGCGGAGGTAGGGAGTCCTTGCGGTCGTTATCCTTAAGGCAGTTCACCCGTGCAGGATAAACCAGTATCCTGCATCCCCCAACCCCCCGTCCCCTATCCCGGTACGTCCAGATGAACATGTAAGAGCTACACTTGATGCAGCGTGAAGGATGGCAGGATAGGCAATTTTGCCTAGGATAGTAGGATATAGACGCAGTGTAGCCTAGGATAGCAGGTTATAGAAGCAGTGTAGCCTAGGATAATAGAATATAGAGGAATGTAGCCTAGGATAGTAGGGTATAGCGGCAATATAGCCTAGGATAGTATGGTATAGAGGCATATAGCCTAGGATAGTATGGTATAGAGGCAATATAGCCTAGGATAGTAGGGTATAGCGGCAATATAGCCTAGGATAGTATGGTATAGAGGCATATAGCCTAGGATAGTAGGGTATAGAGGCAATATAGCCTAGGATAGTAGGGTATAGAGGCAATGTAGCCTAGGATAGTAGGATATAGAGGCAATATAGCCCAGGATAGTAGGATAAAGCAAAGAATTATAGAACTATTCTCGGCAAATAGAGAATATTTTTCAGCAGGTGGCAGTATAAGTGATGTCCTAAGACAATGGTTAATGCTGGGCACGTGTTCTCCGTGGCTAGGAGTCACCTAGTCGATGCTAGGCACGTGTCCTCCGTAGCACGTATTCGTGACAAAAACCAAAAAGGTCGCGTGGCTGTTTAAGGGATTTTCAGGGCTGTGTTGACCACAAAAGTGACCCTCTGGGAGACAGCTCCAGCGACCCGAGCATTGTCTGTCCCTTTCCACCAACGACAGGGAGCAGGTACCGCAGACTGGCAGCAGGTACCGCAGACTGGCAGCAGGCACCGCAGACTGGCAGCAGGTACCGCAGACTGGCAGCAGGCACCGCGGACAGAATATAGATATGTAGATAAATGGATCAAAGAACCGACAGGTTGATAAATTAGACATGTACATCACATAGATATCTTTATTGTGGAAACGTTTCGCCACACAGTGGCTTCCTCAGTTCTATACAGAGAAGAATGGTTGAAAATCAGAAGGAGTTTGAGGTAATCAGTCCCTCAGCGACTCCAGGCTGAGGGCTTGGGTCGACGTACACCCGCGCCACACCTGGGAATGTGGGCGTGTGACAAGTGTGTGAGGTATTGCAGCTAGCAGACTGGGGGGGGGGGGTTTACTTATAGTAAGGATGAAGAGAAAAGGGAGAAGAATTCACTTGTGATTTACCTCTGACTTATTTCTAGAGTTTTTCCCATTCTCTCAAAGATGTATTGAACGGGATAAAAGTGGATAATTAAGAAAGTAAGAATATTGCAGTAGGCCTATTGGTTAATAGGCAGAACCAGCTCACACTCGGCCATTCACACTCATACATGTCTTACCCTGTTGAAGTTACCCTGCCACTGCTTGGCACTTTGTTCCTCTCACAGTTGTTTCATACCACTGCTTGCCTATATATTTCTTTAATGACTCACGAAATCGTAATGACACGATTGCAAACAAACCATACCATATTTCTTTAATCTTAAGGTCTCCTATTTAAATACGTTGTTGTGAGTTCTGTCCTGGTTAATAATTTCACAACGTTGTATCGGATCCAGGGAAATAAAAAGTCACAGAAAAGTCATAGACAAATTTCACAATCTAACCTAACCTAACCTGTGGTATTTAAATAAAATGTGACTTTTTTTCCGGACACAGTTATATCCCCCCCTTCCCCCCAGCTTTATTTCTTTATTTCACTTTGTGTACTATCTTATCCAATCCTTGTTCTTCCCCTTTTTGTAATAAGATGAATAAGGAATAAATAATAAAGAGGATACAAATAAGGTGCTGAAAACGAAGAGAGTTTCTGCTGGTGGTCACATGAGTGAGTTTATATCGGACGCAGTTTGACGTCTGTGATATCATTTAAATATCAGTTGTATTGCTTGAAGTCGTCGTCCTTCAGGCTGATATTTTTTTATTTTTTGCTTTAAAAAGTTTAATCAGTAGTAAGTTGACCTGTTTCCAGTGAAGGTTTGTTTAGCTTACTCTCAGTGCTTGGGTACTGAGGTATTAAGGATGACTTCGTGAGCCTGTTCAACTTACTCTCAGTGCTTGGGTACTGAGGTATTAAGGATGACTTCGTGAGCCTGTTCAGCTTACTCTCAGTGCTTGGGTACTGAGGTATTAAGGATGACTTCGTGAGCCTGTTCAGCTTACTCTCAGTGCTTGGGTACTGAGGTATTAAGGATGACTTCGTGAGCCTGTTCAGCTTACTCTCAGTGCTTGGGTACTGAGGTATTAAGGATGACTTCGTGAGCCTGTTCAGCTTACTCTCAGTGCTTGGGTACTGAGGTATTAAGGATGGCTTCGTGAGCCTGTTCAGCTTACTCTCAGTGCTTGGGTACTGAGGTATTAAGGATGACTTCGTGAGCCTGTTCAGCTTACTCTCAGTGCTTGGGTACTGAGGTATTAAGGATGATTTCGTGAGCCTGTTCAGCTTACTCTCAGTGCTTGGGTACTGAGGTATTAAGGATGACTTCGTGACCCTGTTCAGCTTACTCTCAGTGCTTGGGTACTGAGGTATTAAGGATGGCTTCGTGAGCCTGTTCAGCTTACTCTCAGTGCTTGGGTACTGAGGTATTAAGGATGACTTCGTGAGCCTGTTCAGCTTACTCTCAGTGCTTGGGTACTGAGGTATTAAGGATGGCTTCGTGAGCCTGTTCAGCTTACTCTCAGTGCTTGGGTACTGAGGTATTAAGGATGACTTCGTGAGCCTGTTCAGCTTACTCTCAGTGCTTGGGTACTGAGGTATTAAGGATGACTTCGTGACCCTGTTCAGCTTACTCTCAGTGCTTGGGTACTGAGGTATTAAGGATGACTTCGTGAGCCTGTTCAGCTTACTCTCAGTGCTTGGGTACTGAGGTATTAAGGATGGCTTCGTGAGCCTGTTCAGCTTACTCTCAGTGCTTGGGTACTGAGGTATTAAGGATGACTTCGTGAGCCTGTTCAGCTTACTCTCAGTGCTTGGGTACTGAGGTATTAAGGATGGCTTCGTGAGCCTGTTCAGCTTACTCTCAGTGCTTGGGTACTGAGGTATTAAGGATGGCTTCGTGAGCCTGTTCAGCTTACTCTCAGTGCTTGGGTACTGAGGTATTAAGGATGGCTTTGAGCAGCTGTTCGAGGCATCCCAGATGTCTTAATTTTCTAGTAGCTTGCTTAAAGCCCTTCCCCTTGGATAACATCTGATTATCTCTCGAAAACTTCATGTGGCTTCTGTATAGCGAGTTTTGGATGTCTTAATCTGTTGCAGATGTACAGGTGTTTCTCCTCACAAATAACCCGCATTTAGAAAAGAATACTTATAAAATGGTTTCGGTCCGTGCAGGACCATTGTCATTTCGCAACTGCCGTAAGTTATTTCAGTCATTATAATGTAAGATTTTTTTTTGTAAGTTATTTACAGTTTCTACACTAAGTTGCGTGAAGGCGTGGTACCCGGATTTTCTGGTGGTGTTTAGATGACATTTGCGGTGAACGTGAGGGCTGTGTCGTACTGCGCAGGGCGTTGTGTTAAGGTTAGTGGCGAGCCTCGGTTATCTGTCGTCCATTTAACACGGTACTTCTACCAGCAGGAGGGTGAGTCTGCTCACTGCCACTGTTGCTGCTGCTGCTGCTGCTGCTGCTGCTGCTGCTGCTGCTGCTGCTGCTGCTGCTGCTGCTGCTGCTGCTGCTGCTGCTGCTGCTGCTGCTGCTGCTGCTGCTGCTGCTGCTGCTGCTGCTGCTGCTGCTGCTGCTGCTGCTGCTGCTGCTGCTGCTGCTGCTGCTGCTGCTGCTGCTGCTGCTGCTGCTGCTGCTGCTGCTGCTGCTGCTGCTGCTGCTGCTGCTGCTGCTGCTGCTGCTGCTGCTGCTGCTGCTGCTGCTGCTGCTGCTGCTGCTGCTGCTGCTGCTGCTGCTGCTGCTGCTGCTGCTGCTGCTGCTGCTGCTGCTGCTGCTGCTGCTGCTGCTGCTGCTGCTGCTGCTGCTGCTGCTGCTGCTGCTGCTGCTATCAGCCTTACCACTACCACTACTTTTTCTTCCTCTCTTGGTTCCGTCCTTGCCTCCCTTGCCTATATATACTGGCGCCCTCACTCTTTTGTTTTAGTGTGATTTTTGTAAATGGTCCAAGTCGTACCGAAACGTCGTCGTAAGTTTCTCTCTTCTATGTGCGGGTTATTTGTGTACGCTACTTCTCAGAGCAGGAGGGTGAGTCTGCTCACTAAACTCGATACTTATAACAGCAGGAAGATTACCGTGATTTATTACGGTACCTATTAACATTATTACCCTTGTGTAAATAGCCCCTGGGCAAGCAGCCGATGGTCAATAGATCTTTGTGTGTTCGCCTAGCTGTGTGTGTAGGTGTCGATTCACATCTGACCACGCATCTTACCTCTTATCGACCGAATTTCTGAATTGTCCTTCAGACTAGATCATATCTACTCTTGTTCGCCTCCGCTACCTCTTCGTCTAGTGTCATCCACTTACCACCTTCAGTCTGGCGATTCCAACTTGCCTTATATCCCTTGTTAAGGGGTACACTGTAGTAGGTTGGTAGACAGTAATCGTCATGTCAAAAAAAACTGTTATTTTTGTTTGCGCTCTTGCAGGTTTCCTAATATTTTTGCCTCTTGAACACGTAAGATGACAGGTAAACATTACAAGCTAGTAGGAACATTCAGTTCACACTCACCTTTATTTTCATATGTGCTTCTCGGAAGATCTTAATACTGTCGCGTTTCCTCTCCAACCTAGGATGCTGGCTCTGAGACCGGGCCGAGGGAAAGATACTCCCCGGAATCAGTAACACAGGTATGCTGTTCCTCCGCAGTTCCTCTGTCCCTTCCTGCAGTGCTTAAGGTAATATCTTGTTTAGTCCTACAGGTTTCATTGCATATATATTCCTCCTCTATCTTTGAAATTTCTTCTATTCTTTTGATGCTCACCCATTTCTCTCTATTTTCCTTGTATCTCTCCATATTCTCCGATAAAGAGCTCCTTGAGCCTTTAGTTAATCTTCGTGTACCTCCTGGTCATTTCTCAATTTCCCCTTCCTCCCATCTCTTGACACTCCGGATCAGTTGACAGACTTAACACTGCCCATTTACTAATAACCTCAGAGACTTTGTTCCAACTTAACCCGAGTGCTGGAATGTAAGAGTTAAAACAGGAGGACGTTTAATCCTCCATCCATTAATTCCGAGACTTAATTCCCACTCACCCTTAAAAGGACGGACTGTCCTCTTATTTGAGTCTTATTTTCAGATCCCTTATTGTCATTTTGTATGGCTATACATCAATGTGGGCTCTGATTTGGATATTGCTGATGTGTTTTTTTTTTAATTGACTTTCTGCTCCCCTATTTTTTTACTCTTGCATAGTCGTTCCTAACTCACTCTTAGTTTTGTTTTCAATTGTCCTCCCTTTTCTACATGTTTTTCATGCACTTTTGTGAACACTGGGTTGTTTGCGGTCTCTTCCCGCCTTGCTGGATTTGAGCGAGCAGGTTGTAACGAAGAATAGGAGGATTGGGACAGTGGTCCCGTATCCTATATCTGTTGGGCATCCCATAGCCTTCTTACCTCCACACCTGCTGCCCCAAATGGTCACCCCAACACCTGCTACGCCAGTGGGTTACCCTACGACTGATTGCTACACCAATTACCGCACACTTGCCACTGCAATTGGTTTTCATACCTACCACTGGTAATGGCAGCGTAGGTGAGAGGTGAGAGGTCAGGAGCATGGTGTTGGTTGTTGTGGTGGTAGTGCAGAGGGCGGTGACTTACACACCCTGCACACAAGTAACGTTCATAAATGGCAACACGGGGTGTATGTGTGTGCGTGTGTGCTTACGTACGTAGTTGCATTTCCAGGGGTCGAGTCTCTGCTTAGACCTCGCTGTTTAACTGACAACCGATCGGCATTATTTGGTTCTCAGACTTTTCTCAAGTATATGTTATCGGTGTCTTTCGCTCGCTCATCCATCTCTTTACCACATACTTCCCTCACACTTGACATTCTTAAATACTCTCTCATTTCTCATTACCAAGCTTATTAGGTACATAAACGTATAGCAAAGAATGGGAAAGGGGGTTGGGATGTTTAAAAGAGCAGCCGTACTTGACCTAATGCATGGTAGATGTGGCGTCAGGCCAGGTGTAAGGTGGTGTCACAATAGTGGTACCTGCTCGAGTCTTAGTCGACTCTCCCTGTTCTGTGACCCCATCCCTCCTTCCACGCCACACCCACCCCTCGTCCTCACACACGACCTCCCTTGACCCACCTTCACACCTGTGATCTCCCACACCTGACCCTCTGATCTCCCACATCTGACTCCTGTGATCTCCCACACCTGACTCCTGTGATCTCCCACACCTGACTCCTGTGATCTCCCACACCTGACCCTCTGATCTCCCACACCTGACCCCTATGATCTCCCGCACCTGACATTTTTGACCTCGTGTGCACCACCTGGTTTCTTCATTGTGCTGCCTATCTCCTGGTCCTCCTCCTAATTCTCTTGCTCGTCCTCCTTCCTCTCCATCCTCTTCGATTTTCTCGCTGCTTCTGCTGCTCCTGTTTGCGTATCTGCCCACCTGTCTCCTGCTATTACTGCTGATGCTTTTCTGGTCTGTCAGAGGAGTCGTGATAGGTAACAATATGTGTGTACTCGCCTAGTTGTGGTTGCAGGGGTCGATTCACAGCTCCTGGCCCCGCCTCTAAACTGGCCGCTACTAGGTAGCGGGTGTGTTAGTTACCATTTAGACTTAGGCACATGCCGATTAGACACTAGGCCTGTTGTATATGTGTGTGTGTGTGTGTGTGTGTGTGTGTGTGTGTGTGTGTGTGTGTGTGTGTGTGTGTGGTGTGTTGCACCACGGTGAGGTGTCCAGGTTAACGACTGCCTCAGCCGACACTTTTATGTAAATAGCTTGAAGTGTGAACCCACGGCGATATTGTACACACACACACACACACCACACACCCCACACACCACACACACACACACACACACACACACACACACACACACACACACACCCCACTCCTCTCTCTCTCTTCCCTCTCTCTCTTCCTCTATCTCTTCCTCTCTTCCTTTCTCTCTTCGTCTCTTTCTTCCTCTCTCTTTCTCTCTCTCTCTCCTTCCCCTGATATTTTTACTCTTGTTCATCGCACAATGTTCATCATGTTGCTTGAAGAAAACAAGTTCCGACAAGAAACGCATGTTTGGACAACTTTTCAGCCCATGAAAAGTCTCTACCTAGAGCTCTAGTTAAAGCTCTATCGAAAGCTGTTCGTTTACTAAAACCTCTTATTAAAACTTCACTTAAATTCTTACTTAAAAGATTAAATTTATTTTGACCTGTGTAGGTCCCAATTTGCTCTTCATAGAGCGAAACGTGTGTTTCTCTTCCCACGTACCTGTACGTGTTACGCCCTTCAACCTGCCTTGTTATGGGGCTCTATCCATTGTAGTTACATAGCCTTTATTCATGTTAGAGTCTGTTATTCATTCATCTCTCCATATGCTCAGTTTATCCAAGGGCTGAATTTATCCAAGGGCTCATCTTATCCAAGGACTCAATTTATACACAAATAACCCGGCACATAGAAGCTTATGGCAACGTCTCGGTCCGACTTGGACCATTGACAAGTCACAGTAACACATGAAAGTGAGGGAGCCAGTATATATATATATATAGGAGAAGGGGAGGAAGGGACGGGATAAAGAGAGGAAGAAAGAAGTGGAGTAGTGGTAGAAGTAATGCTGGTTGTGAAAGTAGTAAAAGTAGTGGTAAGGGGGGAGCAGTGGTAGTGGCACGAGAGACAGAAAGGGATGTGAAGCGAGGTAATAGTAGTAGTAGTAGTAGTAATAGTAGTAGTATCTAGGAATTGTCATTTTTTTTTTTTGCAAAGGGCCTTTGCATCATCCTTAGATATATTAATGTAGTTTTTGTATTCCTTGTGGCAAGTACGGGCAGGTGTACGTCGTGCAGGTGCATGCGTGCCTCGTGTACGTACGCACGCGTAATTTGTGCATGTATCTTGAGCTTCACGCCTGTGAGCAGAGCTCTAAACCATTAGAATCACGAGAGCTTCTCCACTACACCTTTCACTACTCTCTTGTTGGTATCACCATACCATTTACTTTCACTCCTGCTTAGATCCATCAGTGTATATAACTGGTGATATATTATTACTAACAATTCAGCCAGGAATTTCTTCTTGTGCAGTTACTTTTGTACGTGATTTAAGGAAGGGATTGACTAGTGGTAAGCTTCTTGAGAGGGCTTTAATATATGTGATGTTAAATGACAACAATTTCCATAGAGGGGTGAAATGCTCTTTGTTGTCAACAAAGGTGTTATTGCTGGACGGGTAGGTGAAGTCTTCGTAAACTCCCCTCCACTCATCCATCCACCCACTCTGCTTTTCTAGACGTGGTCATGCTAGTTTTTATAGTAGTCATCTTCATAGCATAGCGGCCTCAATACCCTGACACTGAGGCACCATCACTAGGCACTCTGGACGACATCCAGTCCGCCCTCCATCTTGCACGGCGATCCTGACAATACTAACTCTCCAAGGAACTACATTATTTACTTCGCTGTAAAACAAAAGCTATTCGTTTATTATTTCGCTATCGTTGGTTAATATATAAATATAAGTTAATTTACGTTAACCTAGCCTAACCAGTATTTCATTTTTTGCAGTTGTTTAGATCAAGAAGATATAAAAGTACTGCAACGACTACCAATACGCGCATTTGATTAGATGCTGTTTTATCACCTGTGCCGAACCTGTTCTCCAGTTAGAGCGTGCTTTTATACAATCGAATTACTGCTCGTTCGCTTCTGCGCGATTTAATGTATTATAGAAGTTGAATATTTGTGTTGTTATCGGTTAGGCTAGGCTTGTCCCGTACCTTGGTTGGTAGCGCACTCACCTCACACATTGAGGTCCGTGGTTCGATCTTCGGTACGGGTGGTAACATTAGGACGTGTTTCCTTAAGATACCTGCTATCCCTGTTCACCTAGCAGTAAATAGGTACCTGGGTATTAACCGACTGGTGTGGATCGCATGCTGGGGACAAGATTAACCTAATTTGCCCGAAATGTTCTGCATAACAAGGGGCTTTCCATATAATATGTCAGCTATGGTCTGTATAAGTTGTATCTTGTACTTGTAGGCATAAATAATATTATTATTATTATTAGTAGTAGTAGTAGTAATCGCAGAGCGTGCGCTTTTTTTTTTTCTAAGAAAATCAGGAGCAGAAACTTGAGCACCTGTTTGACGCCCAAGATCTCAGGGTTTTCTTCAGTACAAAGTTGGTAATTTTCCCTCGCCATTCACGGTACTTAGACGCGTGTGGGTCGCTCAACACGGGGCGGTCAGAGGCTCAGTCCTGTGTACGCTAATCGTCAGATTAGCAAACCCCCAGCTGGGTTAGTTGTTCCTTAAGCCACTTCATCCCTTCAGTAAATAATAGGCAAACGATGTGGGAACCAGCCAGTGGAACACCACCAGGCTTACTATGTAGCGTACTGAAATCTGACGTTAAGGACTACAGTTTGAAATGTTTAGTAAATAACATTGTTTTTAAGATGTACGCTCACATTTAGACTCTCTCTCTCTCTCTCTCTCTCTCTCTCTCTCTCTCTCTCTCTCTCTCTCTCTCTCTCTCTCTCTCTCTCTCTCTCTCTCTCTCTCTCTCTCTCTCTCACGTATGATTAAGCTCACGGAGCAGGGAGAGAGTGAAGAGGCGGGGCCAGGAGCTATGAATGGACCCCTGTAACCAAAATTAGGTGAATACACACGCGCGCGCACCCAAACACACAGTAAAGGTTGAAGG